CTCAACGCCTCATTGTCAGGTTTGCATGTGGTGGCTTACGGCTTATTTTTGTTGTTCTTCATGCACCAGTTGATCAAGACGAAAGAGTTTTACAAGCCTTTTGGAATGCAACCACCAATGCCATTCCAGCACAGTATCGCTCGTGGCATCTCTTTGTGTTAGCTGATGCCAATAGCAGGCTAGGCTCAGTTCAGTCTGATGCGGTAGGTGACTGGCAGGCAGACGAAGAGAATATCAAAGGTCAACATTTCCATCAATGGCTTTTGGAACAATCACTGTTTTTGCCCCAGACCATGCAAAACCATCATTTTGGCAAAGCCGACACCTGGACACATGCGACAGGCACCAAAGCTCGATTGGACTTCATTGCATGTCCACAAGAACTTGGCTCGGAAGCAATTGAAACCTGGGTTGAAGAACGCATCGATCTTGCTATTCAGCGAGAAGATCATGATTGTGTTCGTGCTCAAGTTCCTATTTCATTTGCTTGTTTGTCTAAGACCCGCCAATTTCGACATTTGCTCAAAACTGAGATTGTACGTCCCACTTGGCACACGGACGTCCATTCACATGCAGCAGCATTGCAAAATTGGCTTGGTCAATGCCCCCGACCAGCCATTGTGATGCGCAAGCAGCACCTGACGCAAGAGACAGTGAAGCTGATCCAAGCCAAGCGCCATCACCGGCATCGTCTTGCCAGACTTCGTCGACATCGACGTGATGCCTTGCTGAGAAGCATTTTTCTGAGCTGGAGGGATCACCAGGTTGTTCATGAAGATTTCACCCCATGGCTCCGAGAATGTGATCAACAAGAAGCCAAGCACCTCTGGGCGTTTCAAGACTTGGCACTGCGTGTTGTGACAGCAGTCAGGCAAGACGATCGAGAATTTTACGAGCAATTAGCTGTCCAAGCAGGTCAGGAGTCGCAAAAGGGATCAAGACAGTTATGGCAGGCGATTAAATTCGTCTTACCCAGAAGCAGGGCCAAGCAGCGATCGAATCTTCGCTGTACGGGCCCGACGGTGCAAGACAAAGCCCAAAATTACAATCAGCTTGAGGCTGGACAGCCAGTGCCATTCGAGCACTTGCTCTCTACATGCTGGCAAGCACAACGTGAGAACATTCATGAAGCTCCTTTGACCATCTCTCTCTCTCTGAGTTTCCCACTCGAGTGGCAGTTGAACAACTCTGTGCGAAACTGAATGTCAACAAGGCCTCGGGCATCGATGCAGTGCCACCAGCTGTTCTGCGAGAGCATGGCCCAGCCTTGGCTTCAGATATCACATCGCTCTTTCTCAAAATGTGGACTACAGGTGCTGAGCCATGGCAATGGAAAGGCGGTTTGCTCCATACAATTGGGAAAAAGCAAAAGAGCCACCGTATCGAAGACATGCGTGGGATAGCCTTGTTAGACGTGTTAGTGAAGATGTCCCACGCGCTTCTGCGAGCTCAATTGATGCCCACACTTCTTCAAGCCAGGGCGCCGCTGCAATTGGGCGGCTTCGCCAAACAGACGACCACTTTTGCCACCCATTATTTGCGTGCCCTTGAGCAGTGTGCATCCAAGAAGGCTTTGTCCACTTGCATCATTTTCCTGGATATTCGTAGCGCCTTCCACTCATTAATACGTGAGACGGTATTTGATCTTGATCTTCCATTACCACCACGTTTAGTTGAAGTTTTGCGCTCAGCAGGATGTGATCCTCAAATTGTGGCCGAACAATGTGCCCAGCAGCGTATTGGTGCGACAGTGACACCGGCTTTAGTCCGCTTGTTGAAGGACGCCCACACCCACACGTGGTACACGCTGGCTTCATCCGATGAGGTGCATCATACCCACCGTGGCAGTAGACCAGGATCGCCTTTGGCTGATGCGGCGTACAACGCCCTTATGATCGCTGTCATGACCGACTTGCAAGCGATCTTGGACAATCAGCCTCAGCTTCGTGCTGCACAGGCGCATCTAGGTATGCCTTCTCCCATCATAGCTTGGATTGATGATTTGGCCTTGCCTTTGATTTTTTCACATGCTCATGAGGTTGCCACGGTGACGGAGGAAGTGATGCAGAACGTGGATCAGGTTTGCCGCTCATATGGGCTCATTTTGAATATGAAACCCAAGAAGACAGAGGCAGTGGTTGCATTTCGTGGCCCTGACGCCCCCAACATGAGACGTGATTGTTTTGGCAATCGACAAGGTGTTCTATGTGCCTCATTGCCCGGTGGTATCCTTAAATGTGTGCCATGTTATGAGCACCTTGGCACCATTTTCATGGCAGAGGGCGCAATCGATGCAGAGGTATCACACCGACTTGCTCGTGCCACCCATGCGTACCACCAAGTGCGCAAACCTATTTTGATGAACCGGCACATCGCCACTTCCACGAGATTGAAGCTTTTTGAGGGACTTGTATTGCCGGTTCTGTTTCACGGCAGTGGCAACTGGCCTCTGTTATCACACAGAACCTTGCAGAAGGTCCAGGGCCTCTACATGAAATGGATCCGTACCATTTGTGCCAACGGATTCTGGTCTGCAGATATGCTGTCGGACCAACAGCTCTTGATGTATTGGCAACTTCCACCCATTACGTTGCGTCTGGCCAAAATGCGTCTTTTGTACGCCTTTCATTTTGTCCAAGATTGCCCGCGAATGATTGTGGATGTTGTCACGGCCACGCCTGAGCATTCCTTATCATGGATTCCAGCCCTGCGACATGCGTTGGTTTGGTTGGCCCAGATGGATAGCACTCTTTTCATGTGGGATCCGCTACATGCGACGGTGGAAGAGATCTTTGCTTGGTTGGCATGCCATGTTGACAGTGGCCCTCGTCTTGTTCGACGGCTGTATCATCGTGCGCTTCACCAAGGTCGTGTGCTCCATAAGGTTGTGCAAGCACATTGGCGGTTACGGCAGTGTTTTTCTAGACCGTCGCACTCCACACAGGCCATGCGACAGATACCACTTGATCCTTTCACATTTGAATGTCGTCAATGTGCCAAGCACTTTGGTACTTTGAATCAGCTTCAAGTTCATCAATGGATTGCGCATGAAGTCATTTCGCCTGAACGACAAATGATGAGATCTACTACATGTGATGCTTGTCATCGATGTTTCTGGACGGCTCAAAGGCTACAACAACATTTGCGCTACAGTCGACAGAAGCGCAATGGATGCTATGAGCAATTGACTTGGCGACGTGCACCAACAACTCAGATACCATTGATTGATGAGCTACCGGCCTCAGATCGGTACCATCGCCAACCAGTCATGGTTGTGGCTACGGTGCCTACTCATTCAGAAGTAACGATGCTTTCTCGAGCTGATGCTGATCAAGCCTTTTTTCAATGTTGGGACGCAGAAGGCCTTCCACGTGATTTTGACTTGACACTTCTGACTTCGATGAAATCAGCATTTGATACTACGCTTCTGACTCAGCCGCTCCCCACTGTGAACGACGTTGACCAGATTTTTTTCAACATTTTGCAGACTGCAGAAGACGAGGCTTTGACCGCAGGGAATGGAGCTCTTGGCGAATGGGCTCTATGTGTTTGGATTCTGGATTCTTTCTGGTGTTCACGTTTTCCTGCTCTTTCTGCTGATGTATTTCAACGTTTAGATGGGGCTTTGCAGCAGTTCTTGGAAGATTCTCACATCGGAAGATTGGTTTGCTGGCAACGTCGCATGGACTCTGCATTTTGCCCTCGCGAGTCCGATTGCCCCCAGTCGACCTTACCCAAGGCTCTGGAACCAATATTTGATCCTTGCGCTTTGCAAAACCAGCTTTTAGAGGGTGCTTTTGCTGGTGATTTTGTTTTTCCCCTAGCTGGTCAAGTACCCTTGTGTAAAATTAATGATTGTACAGTTATCTTAATTTTGCACTTGTTCAGCGGGCGACGCCGCATTGGGGATTGCCATTGGTGGCTTCATTGCTTAGCCGACAAGATCTTTCCGGACTACCCGGTCGTGATGATCTCAGTGGACACCGCCATTGACGAGGTCTATGGTGACTTGTCCTCTGGTGCCAATTTCGATCAAATCCTGCAGCTGGCTCACAAGGGTGCCGTGGCCGGGTCTCTCACTGGGCCCCCCTGCGAGACATTCAGTGCCGCCAGAAATTTGCAGATGGAACAACAGCAGGGTCCGCGCCCTCTTCGGACTGCTGCGCAACCATGGTGTCTGCAGGATCGCACAGCGCGCGAGCTTCGCCAATGCGACACAGGCTCCGAATTATTGATGAACTCCTTTCAGTTCGAGGCCGAAGTGGTTTGTGCAGGTGGTGGAGCTATCATGGAACACCCCGCTGAACCTCAAGATGAACACAAGGTTTCGGTCTGGCGTCTCGAGTGTCATCGACAGTGGTGCATGAAGCTCCCTGGTGCCTGCCATCATCGCATTGAGCAATGGCTCTACGGAGCCAGTGGCGTAAAGCCCACCAACCTTCGTGCCCTGAATTTGGGGCCACCGATCACAGTTGGGAAGGCGCTGATTTCTGGCGCTGAGCCGTGGCGCGTGCGACCTCAACAAGGACTGAAGGGCAAAGGTGAGGACGGTAAATTCCGTACCGCGCAGGCCAAAGAGTATCCGAGCGCACTCTGTAGGAGCTTGGTGGTAGCACTTTTAAAAGGGCTACAATATCGCATCCATACAGATGGAGTGCGTGATCCTGTTACTCCATCTGACAGTGAATTGAGATGGATAGTACAGATGCGTCACCAATCAGAAGTCCTCGCCCATGATGTTTTCTTTCCGGATTATCAGAAGACCTAGGGCTTGAGGCAACTCAGTGAGACTCAATTCAATTTGCGTGTCCGCACGAGACTTCTCCATGCGGTGGAATGGAAAAAATTGTGGAGTAGCATGTCAATATCATTCAATATGTAGGGTATGAAAACTTCATATATGTAGTACATCCATCATATTCATTAACCATAAAAGATCATAAAAGCACCATTTCTCCGACTTTTCTGAAACTGTCGGTCTTCCTTGGCTGGCGTCCGAGGCTCTTCGAGGGCTTCAGACGCTCCGAAGTCGTTCGCCTGCTGAAGCAGGTCCGGTGAGATGGGTCCGTCAACGTCCGGTGATCCGGGAAAAATGATAGAATGACTTATCCCCCCAACCAACAAGCTGGTTGGTGGTTTGGAAAATAGTGATATTAATAGATATTAATAGTGGTTAATAGGCTATAAACTATAAACCAACAACAATGGGAATATGATGGTGATCTGGTTGGTGGTGACTGGAACATGGGTTTTATGACTTTCCCATCATATTGGGAATGTCATGGAATGTCATAATCCCAACTGACGAACTCAGATTTTTCAGAGGGGTTGAAACCACCAACTATCAAGAATGTTGTAGGGTGTTTGAATGTCCACAACCTACAACAAAAATCATATCCGTAGGCCACACAAGTTACATCCATGATAGGGATGCATGATACGATATAACTTTTAACAATTTTTGTATGCCCATGGTCTGTAGTACAGCCCTAACAACATGTTATGAATCGCCAGGTAATTTCACAAATTGGTTTTAGTTATAGATTCCGTTTTATCCCGATTGGTATCCCATAAAACCACAATTTTTAATAGTGATATCACCAAAATTGATGATGATATGCAATTATGTATATAGGTATCCCCAATATTATCCATGAGTATCCCCATAAAACCACCATTTCCAACGGTTGTGCCATGTCAGCTTCCTTCCAACCCTCAGACCTTGTCGGACTTGGGTTTCCACGCCACCCGTCATACCTTGGAAGTGGAGCAGCATGGCAGAACGTTGAGATGTTCCCGTCGGGATGTGGGTCAAAATGGAAGACCATTAATGGGACCACAGATGTGAATGTCTAGTTGAGTATTAACCATCCATAATTTTGGGGTACCTAATTTTGACCCATACCCATATTTGTAGCAAGAAGCACAGGATGGAAAAGAATTATTGGGTGCGTTCCACATCAGACCATGATTGGAGCCCTGAAACTCCCCCGCACGGAAAGAGCTCAGCATGCTTGACTGGGGCAAAGTTGGGTTCGTTGTGGAGCTTCTGACTCTAAAAATCGACATCTGACAAGACACGCATTGGTCAATTGATTGTTCCCATTTGAGATGACCAACTTGGAATGATCAGCCCATGGTGACTTTGAATCAACCTGATGATTCTGTAAAAATCTCTGCGTTAGACAGAGGTCAAGTTCTTATACGTAATGCCAACGGTAAAGCGATGTTCTTGCTTTCATTGGTTTCATATTGGTTTCATCCCTGCATTTGCTTACTTCCTTGCGTTTGGTATTTGAATTCTCACAGCCCGGACTTTCAAGGCTAGGGGAAGCTCTATTCTTGTACATAGTTAAAGAGTGTTCAACGAGCTACAAGAGCTTGACCTCTGTCATGCATTAAAATGAAATTAAACATGTTAAACATGTTAAACATATCTCACTTTATCACAGCACTTTCTGTTGGTCAAACATCCCCTGTGTTTGTGATCTCCATTAGACTGCGACTTTCCGAGGTCCGGGCCAAGCCATGAAGAAGCTTTGGCTGGATTGAGGCCATGTGCTGGATATCATTGGCTATGTGAACGGCAGAATGTGGGTAAACAAGAGATAAGTGACGCGAGTTATTCAACATTTTGTGGTTCTGAGAATCCCATATGACCCATTTAGGCTTGTGTTATCAATGGACAAATTGCTTGTATGTTTTGCGTGTGTGATAATCACATGTTACATATAATCACCATATAACCCACTTAGGTTTGTGTTATCACATATAACCCACTCATACTTGACAGATCTTGACAGATAGTGTCGCAATCAAGCAAAAATGTATGGAGTTTGGGTCAAACTTGGTTTCCCTATTGGGATTCTGGGATGATTACAACTAGGAATAGTCCACGAATGTGCGGTCTGGGCATTAAACCTGCTGCCGTGGACTTAAGGGGGTGGGATCTTGGGTTAAAAAGCTAGGCCCTTGGAGGTGTCCTGAAAGGGGGGTACAATATCTCTAAATCATCCATGTTGCATAACCCATCCATTTGGGGGAACCATTTATGGAAAACCCCCATATGTCAAGACCCGGTAATGTCAGGGAGGCCCAAAGTGACGACCAGAAGACGACTGCTTCGGGCTTGCCATTCCCGTTGCGCAGGACGGAAATTCTGGCAGGTCAATGGGATGAGGCCAGTGGAATGTGGTCGGAAAGTCAAACCTTTTCGAGTTAGTTGAGTTAGTTTTCCCTTCAGGTGTGTTTTTTCTGGAGTCGGGAGGTCCGAAAGATTCCATCGAGGTAAAGCGCCTTCCGAGGAACTTCCTTGAGATTGTTGGAGGGTCACCTTGATCACCTTCCAGGAATCTGACAATTTCATAGAATTTCCAGGTCTCCCATGGTATCCTTCCAGGAATCTGGCAATTTAAGGAAATCTCCCATGGTATTTGGGTTTGTCTGAAAATGTTGGGTTAATATTCCCAATGAAATAGCCATTTAAAAACGGGATAATGATCAGCCAAACCATTGGGTTTAGGGGTTTAGCCTATTTTCAGACACACCTATTTCTCCAGCTTTTTCCAGCTTGTTCCCACCATGATCGAGGCGTTGCAGATTGCCTCCTTTCTCTCCTTAGACCTCCCAGAGGTGGCCGTCGGGGCTCCCACGGTGACAGGGTGACACAAAATGGGTGCCCGTTGGTCATTTGGAAAATGGATGAAGCACACATGCAATGCTTATTTCATGGCATGACATGGCATGAAATGGCATGAAATAACCCCAAGTATATGGGAAAAATGTTCTAAACCGTGCTTTCTAAGTCTATTCTAAGGGTCTTTAATAGGGGGAAGGGACTCCAATGTGCTAAATGGGAGTCGATTCCTGTTGGAAGCAATAGTCTGAGTGATTTGTTAAAGGGTACTTGGCCAAATACATTTCTTAACCTGGAGGTCCGGTAAACCCAACGACAAATCTACCGTTTGGGTATGAGTTTAAAGATTATGACAATATTGGGGATGGTTTGTTGTTGTATTACGACATGACCTCAACATTTTGGGATATGATGAGATGTAATCGATTTTTTTGAGTTTAGCAACTATCTGGTTGAATTCACCGACTGGAACAGGAATCTATCCCCACCAAAGTGAAACTATTTCACCAGCAATGCATTTTGTATAAGCGTAGGAGAGCAAACTGGGAAGATGAATATGTGGGTACTGCGGACCAGCTCAACCACTGAGGCGCCCTTGCGGCGCTTGTTGCTGGAGCAAAAATGCTGCGATTTGCACGAAAAGGGACACACCCAGGTGGGATATCATCATGTTTTCATTTTTTATTGAGTTTAGTGACCTATCACCAGTTTTCAATAATTTTTGGGATACATCACCATTTTTTGAACATGAGTTTTTGGGATAGTTTTCGGATGTTTTTGGACAGCAAAAGTTTGAAAACCTGCAGGCGGCTCAAGAAGTCTTCGAGGAGATTGCTGCGGCACCCCGGCGCAGCGCAGCTTTCGTTGGCCGTCGGTGTGTCTCACAGGGGATATCGCAACAGGGCAATTTTAGTGGTGAAAACCATGATAAACCATCAAATTTGAGGATGGCCTATTTTCAGAGAACCCTATATATCAATATATATATTATATATATATACATATGTATATATAATGTGCTGTGTATTGATGATTACCAGCAGTTACCATC